TTACAGAAGTAATATCTACACTGAAAGACAAAGCAAAACTTCGAATAATGATGTTAACTGGTGATCATGAGTCAAGTGCATCAAGAGTTGCGAAGTGCGTTGGTATTAATGAAGTATATTACAACCTGAAGCCTGAGGATAAGCTAAACCAAGTGAAAACTGCATCTAGGGACACAGGTTTGTCTTAAGTAAAGCTTATAAAATTCCATGGTGTTTCTCACTGACTGATTGGTATTTTTACCATTGATTGCCTTATGAAGGTTATATTGTTGCTTTAATTTATCCTACTATCATTGCTTTAATTTATCCTACTATCTTAAAATTGAACCTTCTCAACATTCAGTACTCTACATGTAGGTGGAGGTCTGATAATGGTTGGTGATGGCATCAATGATGCACCTGCCCTTGCTGCAGCAACTGTGGGTATGGTTCTGGCTCAACGGGCTAGTGCGACTGCTATAGCTGTTGCAGATGTGCTATTATTGCAAGACAACATTTCTGGTGTTCCTTTTTGTATTGCAAAAGCTCGTCAAACCACTTCATTGGTACTTAATGCTGTTATCTCTCGTGCTTTCCAATTGAATTTAGTAATTGTTTATGATTTTTTTTAATGAAATTCGGTTTGTTGCAGGTCAAGCAAAGTGTGGTACTTGCTTTGTCATGCATTCTTTTAGCTTCTCTTCCTTCTGTATTGGGTTTTCTTCCACTATGGTTGACGGTACGTTGTTGAACTGGAACCTATATAATCCGTGGGAGTGGCACTACAGGCACACCTCCAACCGCACCTTGGGGCACACCCCCTCTCTCAGCTACAGTGCACAGGGCGCACTTTAGATTTTTAAAACGGGGCCCACTTTAGATTTTTTTAAAAATCTAAAGTGGGCCCCGTGAACTGTAGCTGAGAGAGGGGGTGTGCCCCAAGGTGTGGTTGGAGGTGTGCCTGTAGTGTTTTCCAATCCGGTTCTTTATTGCAACACCAACGCCCCAAATAGGAGTGATTGCAAATAACTAGTTAATTAATTTCATGTGGTTAATCCTTTCTAAGCAGGTGATTATCTAGTATCCAAAATGTCTGATGGATCAATTATCTAGTATGCACTAATGCTTGATTTCATCCGCCATGAATATTTCTTATACATAAATCTAGGCTACCTGCTACTAAGACCATCCATATTATGGCCACTCAATACCAAAAAGAAGTCCAATATAATAGGAACACATTTCTGAGATCAATTTATTGTCCTATACTTTTCACGTTCTACTAGCTCCTCTCTAGCTATCAATTGAATTATCTCCAACCCTCTCAAATATATCTTGCATGTTTGTTAATTGTTGGCATCACCATGTCACTACTCTAAATGATTTTACTTTGCATTCAGCAATAAGCTAATTGTAACTTAACCCTACCTTGTTTTTGAACTCCTTCCAACTTATGAAGCATAGAGTCCAATTTGAATATTCTATTGGTTACTACGTGAGGTTTCTATGTAAAAATATCTGTTTGTTTTCTTGTCACCAGTAGCATCCTCCGTGACAACCTTCCAAATCACAGCAACTATGGTACGGTTGAAATTCCTACTAAACTCTATGGTGTTTCAAGGTACAATAAAGGAATTATTAGCTTTGAACACTAGATTTGTGTCCTCCACACCATGTTGATGCACTCATAGCCGAAGGTTTCCAAACTGCATAACCTTGTTATCTATTGAAAGATGAATATCTTTCCTAAGTGGGACAGTTTGTCCTTTGAAGTGGAGGTGGTTTTCTAGTGGACAAACCTTCTATATGGAAAGTGGGTTTGTATGTATATTTGACTGAAGATGTTTTAGTTGATAATTATGCATTAGGCTTTGGTATCTATTGGGAGCAATACTTGAACCTTCTTTTTCTTTCTTTCTTTCTTCATCTTAATTTTTATTCTTTATTTTATTTTTTTGGGTGCAGGGTTGGGGGTTTGTAGTTACAAGACGAGGGTTGTCAGGGTAAGGTTAGCTAGAAATTAATTGGAATATTGAGTGATAAAACCGCTGGTAATTATGAAAAAGGATACAGTGAAAATGAATCAGGAAGATTTTAAATATGAGACGTGTATTATGTCTTGGTCCAACTACCAGCTTATGGCCATTGCCCACCCCACAACCCCTAATCTCTTTGGGGATTTGTGCACTCACATGTGAGCCATGCAGTATGTATTGGTCCAGTCAGTTACCAGCTTGTGGCCATTGCCCACTCCCACAACCCATAATCTTCTTTGGGGATATGTGCACCACTCCAATCTCATAACTGGTGGAGGTCCAGTTTCTGGGTCCTCAAGCTTTGATCTTGTTAGAATATATAATTATAATTCTCAATCCTCACCACAACTTTGGAGTCTAGATGTAGTGAAAGGCGCCTTTATAAAGGTATCAGAGCAACCATGACTGGCTATGGCTTAAAAGCGGATTTAAACAAAGGATGTCACTCTTTGATCTTGCTTTCCATCCATGAAAAGAGCGCTTAACCTGCAGTGACATGTTAGAATATATAATTATAACCCTCAACCCTCAGCACATCTAGTGTTTTCAAAGGCGCGTGCCTCACTGCGCCTTCTACGCCCTATGATGCGGGGTGGTGGCGAAGCACGCTGCATCTGATGCAGCAATATAATTTGGGCCTCGCAAGCATCCTGACTTTGTGCAGGGTGCACTTCGTACATAACATCGTATATTTTTATTCGTTAACATTTCGTTGAGTCTTTATACACGATAACCCATATTCCGAAAAGCAAAATAAACCCATTAGTCCTTTTTAGTAGCCTTCAATTAGGATCTTAACTAATCCTCATTTACTATTTGATTTTGCTAGGATACTAGTCTTAATTTGACATTTGATTTGAAAAATTATGAACTTTGCTACTGTGTTGGATATGTTAGCATTAGAAATTAAGACCTTATATTGAGATTTGGTAGTAAGATATTATTTATCCTGACGTATTTTTCATGTGAATTCCTGTACATGTTATTTCGTGCTTCATTATCTATCTTGAAAAATTGCGTGTGGTGTGCGCCTCACATCACTTGGGCACGCACATCGCGTAACGCCTTCCGCATGTGCGTGTAAAGATATTTTTTGTGGTGTGCGTCTCACATCACTTGGGCACGCGCATCGCATTACGCCTTCCGCATGTGCGCGTAAAGATATTTTGCGCCCTGTATTGTGCCTAGCGCATTGACAACACTGAGCGCAGCTTTGGAGTTTGTGCGTAGATGAAGAAACAACAGATCTTTATCCAAGAGATTCTCTTCATTATACGAGAGATTGAGAATGATCTTCTATGAAGATCCAATTGCCTCCTGTGCTCGACCATCTTGAGTGAATTTGTATATATGTAAGCTTTTTCAAAATATATAATGGAAATAGAAGAGGTGTTACTGATTTCAATAAGCTCATAGTTACAGAATAAAAAATGGCATGAAAGTTGTTGAAGTTCTGCATAATAGGTTTGATATCCCCATCCAACATGAAGTAGCGGTGGCTTGATTTCTCAAATCAACTGTCACCAGGGATATTTAGGAGATTTCTGACAATATTGCCTTGAGATTGATTTATATAACTATTTTGACTAAGTGGGTAAGCGGTGCTATCATTTGATTCTAAGCAGTCATCTGTAGTTTACCCACGTGGAGAGTGCATGTACCATTTCGCGGGATAGTTGGGGCAGTATTTTGTGTAGTACGTTCACTGACCAAATAGCTGCGGGAGAGATATCAGTCATAGATGTCCTAGATGCCTACCAAATTTGTTAACTCTGGCATCTGGACAGACTATAATAGTGAGAGCACATCTGCAGAGACACCACTTGAAACATTCAGGTCATATGATACAATGACTTTTGCTCTCAGTGAAAATGGCGGACCTTTAAGAATGAGGGTACTATTGTCTCTAATAGAGGTCTGTCAATGCCTAATTTGAGCCATTGTAATATGCTTTATGCAAATCCATCATGTTTCTATTGTCACTTGAAAAATCTTTAAGAATTTGATATAGGAGTAGTTTTATCCGATTGACTAGGAGTAAGAAATATGGATCAAGTGTTTCCTACTTTTAGCTTGGATGACCTCATGTAATCTGATATCTATCTAAACTCTACGACCTTCTTCTTTTTATATTTTCGGGGTGCCATGAAGTCTTGTCCATCCTTTCTTTCCATACATACATTCTTATCTTATCTGGACTTGTTCGCTGAAATTTACTTTGGATATTAACTTTTCTTTAGAATAAAGTACCAAACACCTTAATGGGGTAAAATTTCTTCTCTAAAATGTGATGCAAGATTTCTTCTCTAAAGCGTGTTTTGAGTAAATACTTCTTTATGAGCACTTTATTAAGGAAAATCAAACACTGAAGACGTCTTAAGAATTAAAATATGATCTCACTTATAATCAGTCGTTTAAATCTACTTTCCATATCTCCCATCAAATGTGCCAAGTGTTCCATATGCTAATGATATACATAAGTAATGGAAAATTAGGATTCCATGGTTGCATGAGCTTAAACAATGTAATCTACCCCTCGCCCTCTCTGGTTATATTCAAAAATCTCACCTTGTCATAGTTTCAATGGACTGGATTAGATCATGTGGAGGGTCGATGCCGGGTCATCTTGTGAAAATATTGTCATATCCTTTATGGATTTTCTTGTCTTTATTCTCAAAAGGGATGATGTTATTAACATCCCTGATCATGATAAATAGTTTTTGATTACAGCAAGTAATGACTGCAAACAGTAGTGAAGCTGCTAAGAGTATAGAGAAGTGCTAAAGTTTAAATTTATCACGCAGATGGGTTTAAGTCATAAGGCAGAAAATGTTGGCCATGACTCTTATTGCTTACCGCTGAGAAATTCTCTCATGGTTGATTTGATCAAGAAATCTTTTCAATTTGTTTAGTAGTGATACCGCCCATTTTATTGCTCGATTATACAGGTTCTTTTGCATGAAGGAGGAACCCTTTTAGTCTGTCTCAACTCGATTCGTGCACTAAAAGACCCCTCATGGTCGTGGATTCATGATGTCCGTGACCTTCTTCATGGATTTAGGACAGCTTTGTCCGCATTTCTTAACAGACAGACGCCGCAAGCGGCTCCTTTGTAAAGATGTAAATGTTCGAGGCTGTGCTCCCCGGTTTTTGGATGCAAAAGCTCTGTATGTTTTATGTAGTAGGACATCTTCGTTAACTTGTATTGTTTATTCCTGTGTAGTTCTTTTTTCGCCCCTTTCCTCTCCACCCAAAAAGAAACAACAGTAAGTGGTACTACACATAGTAACATGTCTTCTGATCATTTCAGGAATATGAAAGGGTTAATAAAGCTATTGGTTTTGGGACTAATGTGATTGGTGTATAAAATGCCCGTCGTGATGGTTGAACAGTAAATAAACAGGGTAAAGCTTAACGCAAAAGAACATTTTCTATGCAATTGTGAAGTCACTGAGGCGTTCGAGACTCATGGGAAGGATTATACAGTGGTTTTAAAACAGAGAGTTGGCTGCAATGTTTTAGACAGTGAAATTGCCTAAAGATGCTTAGGCTTTACACTACAATTTTTAAGAGTTGTTTTTTCTTTGCTTTGTAAAGTGGGGCATGTTTAAGCTCCTTTGTCCACCGACACTGCTGGGACTAAGCAAAAAATAACAGGGGGTGATAAATGTAGTTCTTAGCAAAAGTTGATGCATCTATTCGTTGGCATAATGGGAAAAAAAATGATATTGCTATACTTCAAAGGCCATAAAATTAATTTGGAACCAAAATGATGAGACCGCTTGTGAGACAAGTGATTTGCCTATGTGCTAGCCATTTCCTTCTCCCCTCAACTTGATTCGATCGTTGCTCCCCAGCTGTGCTCTTGGAAAACCTTGATCATTTTATATTATATAGAAAAGGTTGGAGAAAAGAGCAAAACAAGTTCGAATTTCAAGAAAATGACACGTGTTATTTTGTTCCGTGGTGGTTCTTTTGAACTCTGGGTCCAAAATGAAGTACTCTTCCTTTCACTCCAGAGTTGTGAAGTCATTCACAACTCAACAAGACAGTAGTACCAAAAAAGGAGAGGAAAAGAAGCAAATTGAGAGTACTCTTGTGACCGAGCATTATCATACACAGTAGAAAAGTCCAATTCAGCGCACATTCATATCTACACATAAAGGTCAATTTTTATAAAACGGGACGTGAACTGTCTACATGTACAATTAAATGCTTTTTAGTAAATTTTATAGTAAAATAAAATTGAAATTGTGTTGGGTAAAAACATTAATTCCTATCTATATCTTGTAATTGAAATCAATAAGTATAGATGGAAAAGTATTTTCAGTTAATTTTTTAATAAACTTTGTTAACTTTGACATTGCCCTTAGATTTCAGTCTCATTATTTCCGTCTAAATTTTCAAATTAGCTAATACCTCATTTTCTTTATTAAAAAAAAGGACCTGTATAAGTTACATTTTTAAAATTTTTTTGAACTCCTATAAGCAGGAATTCTTTGTTTCTCAAACACAAATTCAGATAATCCCCTAATGTTTACTCGTATTTCTATTAAACCATCAATCTATTATTTTATCTGTAAGGGTCCAGTTGTTTTTATTTACATCCTATTTAGCCCCCACAACAATTCTTTTTTTTTTTGAGCCTGAAAAATAGGGTGAGGTACCCTGTTCATTGAATATATTAAAAAAGTTCAGAAGAAGAATTACATCAGATCTAGTTGAAGGAACATAATAGGAGAAGTAAGTAAGGAGCGGACCATTGTTGTCACCTACCACACTTGACCTACAACATTTCCAACAACTAGAAAAAAACCAAAAGGAAACAAACACTACTTAGAAAAGATAGTATCTCGTAGAAGACAATGACTAAATTGAAATAAAGCTAGACACAGCTAGCAGCCACAAGCCATAAAGTTCCATCATCACAAAAGGAGTCTACTTCCAGCAGAGATAAAGAGCCGCAGGGGTTAGGAATTGTTTGAGAAATTGTCACCAGCGACATCGGGGGCGTTCTTCTTGGCGAGTTCCTGGAAGCCGATGTTAAAAGTTGCCCTACGGAGCCTCCTAGCCATCCCGTCCTCTTCGGTACCTGATCAGAATATAGAAAATCTCGCAATATTAGAAGCTGTGAGAAGCAGGATAGGCTGAATATCCTTAAAAATTAGAGAATTTCTACTGAACCAGATCCACCAACAAACACAGGCAACAAGATCTTCCATATAGCTTTGGTATCCGAGCAAATATAGGGAACTTTGTGAAGAAAAAACAACTCTTCCGTGGTCGTAGGCTAGATGTTAGGTGGAAAGAGGGGGAGAAGGAAATTCCATACTGAGCGAGCAAAGGAGCAATGGATAAATAGGTGGTCATGAGTTTCTGTTTCCAGATGACAGAATGGGCAACTAGGATCACCGTTCCATCCTTTTTTGGTCAAATTATCCCTCTTGTTCAGCTTCTTTTTAGAAATAATCTAGAGTAGGACTTTTACCTTTGAGGGAATGTTGGATTTCCAAATCATGTTGTAGAACTGGGATTTAATAACCCCTGAAGTAACAAAAGAGTAATAAGATTTGACTGTGAAAATACCCGATGGATGGAGAGGCCACTGTAAGTCATCCAGAACAGAGGGATCACCTGGATTAATGAGATCTAAGAAGGAGTGAAGGTGAAGAATGTCTGACCTTTCATTCATGGAAATACCCCTTCTAATTAGGGGGTGCCAATGTCATGAATTGTTGAGCATTCTACCTTGAGAGCCAATGCTGCAGTTTTTAGAGAGAGCAAGCTTGTATGCGTAAGGGAAGCGACTGCATAGAGAATTTGCGGAAGACCATTTATCGTGCCAAAAACTGCCTGCTTTGCCATCCCCAACATTCCATCTGACTAGATTAAAGAAAGTGGATTGAATGGAAAATAAATCTTGGATGAATCTTGATGCCAAATGCTTTGGTTGATGAGCAATGGGGTTGGATCCATTTTTGGAGTAAATGGAGAAATATCACTTTGCTTAGAAGAGAATTTTTTCTGTCGAATATTTTCCATATCCATTTGGAGAGAAGAGCAGAATTGAAGGAGGGGATATCAATAACCCCGAGCCCTCCTTCTGCTTTAGACTTGCAAACAGTCCCCCAATTGATAAGACATTTGGCTCTTGAGTGGCTGAGACTGCTGTTCCAAAGAAAGTCTCTTCTAATTTTATCGATGGCCTTAATTAACCATTTTGGCAACTTAAAGAAAGACATATAATAGAGAGGGATAGAAGAGAGAACAGAGTTCAGAAGAGTTAACCTGCCACCAATGGAGAGAGTTTTGTTTTTCCATAATGAGAGCTTCTTCTTGAATGATTCTAAGAGAGGTTGCCACTCTCTTTTAGATAGGAAGCCTCTTTTGAGGGGGAGGCCTAGATATGAGAAAGGGAGAGAACCGACAGAGCAGTTGAGAATCTCGGCCAACATATTACCTTTATGGGGGATTTTGCCAAGATAATAAAGGTTGGTTTTTAGTGGATTAGCACAGAAACCTGAAATGTTAGCGAAAATGGAGAGGATGGTCTTGAGAATAACCATATCAGAGGAATTTGCCCTTGAGAAAATGATTGTGTCATCCGCAAACTGGATGGTTCAAATGGAATTAAGATCACCCTTCAAATTATGATTTGAAAGATCCCCCGAAGCAGTGCTACATTTGAGCATCTTACTCAGGACATCTGCCACTAACAAAAAGAGTAAAGGAGAGAGGAGATCGCCTTGTTTGAGGCCCCTGAAACATTTGAAAAAGTTAGTGGGGGAGCCGTTCACGAGGACAGCTGATTTGGACGATGACAAGATATGTTGAATCCATAAACACCACTTGAGCCCCCACAACAATTCTTTATACTCGATGAGGAGTGTTTTTCTTATTGAAATTAATTTTGTGGGAAGAAAATATCATTCTAGCTATTTCTATTTGCTCTTTAGTCTTATGATTTCTATATTATTTTCTTATAAAGTTTCATAAATCAAAATCATTGCTACTTCCAGCTCGACCAAAAACGCAAGCAGTTTTTGGGAAAGATGCCTGTGATTATATTTTCAAAACTCCGAATTTATCTCCACTAAAATATTGATTTTGGTGATGCTTTGGGTGATGAACCACCGTGAGATCTAAATAGGATTAAATAAAACTATAGAGGCTTAATAAATTGAACTAAAAGATTGCGGGCAAAATAAAAATGAAAGGTAAAGCTGAGTGCCTTGACATATTAAAATAACATAGATTATGGGCTTGATGGAAATGTAACATAAAGCTTAGGGGCTTATTATGTGAATTTATGTTCTTTTTTATTTAAATTGTACTAAAGATTGTAGATCTCTTCATATTACACTATATACTAAAGTTAACGCGAAATGAACAGTTCTTATGTAAAGTAAATATCCAAATAATTTTTTTTATTTGGGTGAGGGGGAGTCTGCTCCTCTCGCGCCCCCTGCCCCGGTCCCAGATTTTTTGGGGAAAGAAGGAAGCCAGAAAAAGGCATATATTTTGATTTCACGTTTATGGGATATTTGTTAGTAAGTTTTTGTAGGATGCCTTTTTCTTATGTTTGAAAATTGTTAAGAGATGTCAATGCATTTTATTTTGCTAGATTTTATATGTTATATAACAGAAAGTGATGAAATATGATCTCTAGGGGAAAAAAAAAAAGCCAAAAAAAAAAAAAAAAAAAGAAAAGAAAAAGAAACGGAGACGAGGATCATGAAAAACGAAGACTGTGTTTTTGGTTGCAGGTCAGTCGACCGCGAACTTGAGTCCGGTCGACCGAATCCATGCACATTACAGTGTTCAGAAAACACTGTTCGGGTCGTTCGACCGGCCAAGCCTATGCGGTCGATCGAATGTTGTGGAATTTAAAGGGTCAAAAATTGACCCTCTGACCGGTGGACCGCGGGCATAGTCTCGGTCGACCGGATCGTGGTTATGAGCCTAGTCGGTTTTTCCACTTGGTTTTGGATTCCTATTTGATATAAATAGGAACATGATGTTTTCTAGAGTTAGGTGAGAGATTAAGAGCTGAGATTTGAGCATTGTTTGAGCACTTAGAAAAGAAAAATTTGTGAGGGATTTGAGAGTTTTGTTTGAGGGCTATTTTGTGAGATTATTGAGTGATTGTAAACCCTATTTGTACTCTCTCTCTATTAGTGAAATCTTCCTCCTCCTTGCCCCGTGGATGTAGACACATTGCCGAACCACGTAAATTTGGTGTCTTGTTGTGTGGTTCTTGTGTTTGGTTGTTGATTTGTTCTCCTATCTTGTTTGTGTCCTTCGATTCCGCTACGCACAACAAGTGGTATCGAAGTTCCAGGTTGGCTTGG